CACCGCACCGACAGTCGGCCCCCTGGCGCCTCCTGTGAACTTCCACCGTCGCGTGGCCCCTCCCCTTCGCATCAGATCACGTCGCAGACATGGCTCGCACGTCGCACGTCATTCCCGCAGCAAACGTTTACTGCTCCTGCATGTCATCCATTTTTCGTCAAATCGTACAAAGGTATCGTGTTCCAGCTTGCGCCATCCCTAACTCCATACCGGAGCCTGAAAATTTCGCCCCTAAGAAATGTCGCGCACGCCTGGCGCCAGCCCCCAAAGTCCCGGATACCTTGTCAGCCCGGGCCCACCATCCTGAAGCATGTCTAGTATCTCCTTCGGTCATCGCGCTCATATCTGTCATCGTACCTATCGTCACGGTCGTATCGGTCGTCCCTCCTGCGATCATTTCTGCGCTTGTTGTCGTCGTAATCCTCCTCCCAATCACCGTTCCTTTGCTGCTCCTTCTTCCTTTTACGTTCGTCCCAATGGCCCGCGGCCTCTTTTGCACCAACACCGCCTATGATGGCTCCAGCAATCGTTGCGACAGTGTCGTACTTCTTGCCTTTGGTCGCTTGGTTGCCTGCTATGCCGCCCACTAATGCGCCACCAACAGTCGCAATCAGACGGCTCTTCATGTCATCACGAGACCGAGAGCGCGAGTTAGACCGACGGCGTCGCGTTTCTCGTCGGCCTTGTCGCTCAGAGCGCGGCGGAGACCAGGATGAGCCTCTACGTTGGGTGCCTGGTCTACCGCCGGCGCCCCCGTATCCGCGTTGTTGACCGTAGTCAGGCTGACTTTGCTGTGGGTATGGCTATTGTTGGTTAGCTTAAGTCTTGCATACTGTTCAGAGTAGAGCGCACTGCTACCTGCATGTCGCGGGTGTCACTCGGTCCGTCGCGACCACGCGGGACTTTAAACCCTGGTCCCGGCGCCCTGTGGTCGTTCTGTTCCGTCTCATAGTACCGATCGTCTGGGCCATAACGGTCTTGTCTGTAGTCTGGCGCATACATCTCTGGGTCCGAGTTGTAGCCGTCTACAATTTTCGGTACAGAGCGAGGCGAAGTGTACTCCTTGTCGGGATGCCGCGAAGCGTTCTGAGCCGGGTAGGACGACTGCTGTGCGTTTTGAACGGGTGGGCCCTGTGCGTTTTGCTGGTATTGATTTGACTGCGCCTGTAGCTTGCGTTTCTTCTTTCCTGGTTTGGGAAACGCCGGAAGACGATCGTAGGTTTTATCGAAGTACTTGTCGGTGAATCTGTCAAGACCCTCGAATCCGAGCTCCTGTTTATCGAGAAAGCAAATCAGCAGGTCGCACGCTTGAGAGGACGTCTGCAGGGCCACGCACCACCATCTCTTCTGCCATAGTGACTAGACCCTTGGGGTTGGTCTTTCCGGTAGATCCGTGTCGGTGTTACGTCCGCGAACCGCTTATTCGGATAGCAAAAGTACTGAATGTGTCGACTGACTGGCATGCCCAGTCTCTTAACGTTTAATCCCGCTTGGCGGGAACCCCATGATGCCTGTTTTCATGCGTTTTTGGTATGACGTAGGGCGGTGCTAGTTGGGAAGAAGCTAGAGGTTTGGCGTAGCGCCGTCGCTCATCAGGAACGGGTGTCGGCACGCCGGGGTCTGAATGCGATCATTGCGCAGGCAAAGGCGTTCTCGCGGCGTTGGCCATGCCGGTCTGGACGTCTTATCGAAAGCTGTATGGCTCTCTCTCAAGCTGATGTTGATGACAACCTGCTATTTCTGTGCGCTACAACAGAAGTCTCTCGCAGAGCCTGGAGCCCAAGGAAACACGGACAAGCTGCATCATCACGCGAAGCACACCACAGTTGTTGCAACCACTTTCTCGTCCTACCTCGACCCATCAACATATCAGTTCCCAAAACCCACAATGATTCACATCGAAACGAAGGCGCGCGAAGTTGAGGAATCAATCGGGTATATCTTCTCTGACAGGCGCATTGCTGTCGAGGCTGTCCAAATGGCTGCTCCGCAGATTGCGCTGATACACAACGGTGCCTTTCTTGGCCTAAATAATAACAAAAGGTTGTCTGTAATGGGCGATGCAGTGCTCGCCAAGGTGCTGTGTGGTGCCTGGTTCGATGCTCGCAATCCGAGTGGTAAGAAACGCTTTCCTTCAGCACATGTACTGCGGGGTACTGAAGATGCCAGGCCAAGTGCTTTCTCAGGCGCAATGGACGCAAATGCGCAACGAATCGTTGAGCAACGATGCGCTGGCGCGCCGGGCACACCAGGTTGGTCTCGATGAATGCGTCATTACGGCTGACAGCAAGCCTGTCGTGTCTCCGAGAATGGCGGCCCGACCTTTGAAGCTGTTATTGGTGCGGTTTATCAGGATGGTGGAGATGCGGCCGTCCAGCGCGTCATGCAGTCTCTCGGTTTCTTCGACCATCAGCTCCTCACGGTAACGTCTCAAATCCTCCTGTTCCCGTTATGAATAGCGATGCTATATTGACTGATGTGCAAACTTCTAGATCCCCGCATAGCTGTGGCTGAGATCTGCTGGACAAGGCAACCCCAAATTCTCTTAACGAATAGTTGGCGTCTCATTCTGCTTCTCACTGCGTTTGCGCCTCCGCGGGGAGACTGGAACGCAAGGAAAAGACGTTCCTGGGGCGCCTCTTTGTCGCTTCGATAATTCGGGGATGTCTCGACCATCAAATCTCAGCCACAGCTGCGCCGCACCCGCTTGGATCTACCAGCCTACGCTCTCGGGTTCCGCTGCGCCATTATCAACGTGTCTTCTGCATATGGTTTCTAATGCATGCAGCAGAACGGCACCCCCTCTGCAGGCACGTAAGCGTTTGCCTGCAGATCTCAAAGATCCAAGGTATGATAGGAAAGAATGATCTGCCTTGTGAGGGACACCTGAGACTAGCATTCAACATCTGGTCTCCCGAAAGTTTTCTTGATGACAAGACCCCTGCATTCAACTGCGATGATGATGGGCAGTCACTTTGTGTCTCTCTAGGCTTGTCATTCGTCCACACAATGATTCAGTAACCAATATCAATTCTTGAACCAGATAGCATTTTTACGCCCACGTACAGCAACTCTCTTCTCAGCATCGTTGCTCCGCAAACAACTCTTAAACGGCTTCCTTCATGAGTGGCCGCTAGAATCTGGATACTGGTACGCTCAAGCTTTCTATATCGAGGCACCATCACCGGCTGAAAGATCGTCACCCCTCCTGCCGCATTTGTCAACGCCAGCCACGTAGTGGTTACACAAAGGACTGCGGGAACATAAAACCGGTCAGCGGTGGTGTGGCAATCAGGCATCAGTGTTAGCCAGATACAAGAAACGCCTTTTTCTTGTCACCCATTCAGTGTTTTCTCATCCAGCCTAGCCACTCATCCCCCCAATTCTTTTTTCACAGGTACAAACACCATCATGCTCATGTCCATCGACGAGAAGATTTCCGGCGTCGAGTCCATCTTTGGCCGGGTCTTCGACGACAAATCCTATTGCGCTTCAGCGATACAGATGCGGGACACTCAGGCCACATACCTCGACTATGGAGGCTCGAACCGGCTTGTTTTTCACAACAGGCGCCTCGAACTGATGGGCGACCGTGTCCTTGACACTGTCTTATGTCAGAAGTGGTTTCAGGCTCAGAACGCGGACGGTAAGTGATACACGAGGTGATCATAGGTTATGCATAGTAATGAACATAGGACATGTCCACCCGATCCGTTCTTGGGCTTCACTGCGCAGTTCTCTTGTGGACAATGTTCCTCTTGGACAGCGAGGCGTCGCGCTCGGTCTTGACGCCTTGATCGTCACCCAAGGTGGAACTGTCGCGTCGAACTCCCCTAAGATGGTGGCTGCAGCTTTTGAAGCCATCATTGGAGCAGTGTTCCTTGATGCGGGGGATCAAGGCTTGCAGGCTGTTCACAATGTTCTCGAACATATAGGGTTCTTCCGTCACCCCATGCTATCGGTAACGTCTTTGCGGCTCCCCATCCTTTGCTTTTGAACACATACAGTCGTGAACTAACGTGCCAAATCCTAGCTCCCTAACATGGAAGACTCCCGGAGGCCCGACAAGAGGAAATCCGGGGTGGCCCGCGTGAAGGGGTCTAGAGCTCTTCTTACTGTCTACTGAGAACACTATCAGGGTCTTTGTCAACTCGTGCAGTTATTGAGGCTAGCTCTACGAGTAGGTACAGACCCTGAGAAGATTCAGCTTGACGGCAGAAGAGCTCCAGACCCCTTCACGCGGGCCACCCCGGACGTCCTCTTGTCGGGCCTCCGGGAGTATATCATGCTGGCTGGAGATGCGAGCTTGCACTGTGGTTACATTAGTCAAGCCTCGGACTGCTGGTGTATACCACGGCATCGTCCTTTTACTAACATCTTGTGATAGAACACCACTCAGTGAGCTTTTCCATCAGCCGCAGCTGAGATGAAAGATCCGAAGCGTGCGCCAGGGTAGTGCGTGAGTTGGACATTGCTTGCATGGAATTCTACCTTGGGTCTATCTCATCTGCACACAAATAAATGCGCGAAGATCTTCAGATAAAACTGCTTTCATTTATCGTTCTTGTCTTTCCATTGTTACTCACTGTATACATTCTCTTATACCAATAACCTGGGCAATCAACTATGTTTGCCCTACCAACGTCCCCTTGACGTACTTCTAGTACGTCTTCAAATGATCGTTGAGCATGCGAGGCGTAGGCTTCACCCTTCTTGTCCTCTAGTGGTGTCGTCGTCGGAAGTGCTGGCATCGGCGACGCCAACTTTTCTTCACCACTTCACTTGCGATCGCTGGATCGCGGTTTCATCCATAACTTGCTACTCACTGGTACCTAGAAGTGCCACGCAGACACGACGAGCCTATCACAATGATTCTATATATCTGCACAGTTGCTTCACTATGCTAAATTGCCAATTGGTACTTCAACTTCAAGGTTCATGTTGCTCTCGCTTGTACGTCTGAATCACAACAACCGAAGCGATACACAGTGACCCACAACATGTCTGACCCATCTCACGATCCGAAGCTATTTGCGCGGATAGAAGAACGTGGGGAACATGAAGCCGGAAATGTGTACTGCCAGAACGCAGAGACGATTGATGATCTCTTCAATAAAGTCATTGGCGCTATTCATCCCGAGGTTCTCGCCGCCATCAAGGCGGGAGGAGCCGATCTTGGTGAGTTCACCATGGACAATATGGACCTTGAGTCCTGGCAGATTGATATTCCCCTCTCACCGGAGCAGACCGACAGCCAGTACCATCAGCTGCCACAGTGGCACGAAGAACGAAATTCGTACAACGAGATACGCTATACACCAACAGAGCCGAATGAAACGAGTCTGCACGATGCTCGTGTAGCCGCCATGGTCGCTCTTGCTAGAACTCGCCAGCATGTGCAAACATCTCAAGGTTTGTTCAATGAGCCGCAGACGTTACCGACAACACCACAACACATTTATCCGCCACACACCCAAGAAAGAGTACCGTGCACGCAACAACAGTCACAGCCACAGCCACAAGACCAAGCCATGCGGGATATATCGCAACAACAGATAGCCGGACGCCCGTTCATGGCATTGCAGCCAACAGTACCAATCTCCGAGCCGATGCAAGATCAATCGTGGCGTCCAAATTTCACACGTCCAAAGACGCCACAAGTAGCAATTCCTGCTTTCTCAAAGGCGCCCACTCAGGTACCACGCGCAATTGCCGCCGCTCCCCCCCAAAGCATGCATTTCGCCAACTTCGCTGAAGCACAACGAGCGGCGGCCACCCGTGTCGTTCACCATAACTATCATCCTCTGGCGAATGACAGCAGCTTTCCCCAAGACCAAGCAGCTCGCAGATTCTACATTCGTCAGCTGTACGACGCCTTCACCGACATAACCCAATGTATCGACAGCGCCACTGTTGCCAATTTCGATCTTCGGTGGGCTACTCTCTCGTCCGGTACCTCACCATACACACCAGCCATGATCACCACGGTCTGCCACGCCCTCCTCTCCATCGCCATCGACCTGCACACCCATGGCCCCATCTCTCTCAATGTCTACGACCAAGGCAAGTTGGAGAACGTGTACAAGTACCGCAATCTCACATTCAGTGCGCGAGTCGACAAGGTGTGTGAGCTGATGCGCATCAGCAAGGCTAGGTGTGGGAATCTGCTCAAATTTGAGGGACTGGAGATGGTGGTTGCTACGGCGCCGTTGCTCATTAGACAGACGAGGAGTAACTATCACCACAATCGGAATAGACAGGATGATCTTGTTGCGGGTAAAGAGACGGAGGCTGGGGAAATGGGGTATGATGACGATGAAAATGAGGATTAAAATGGGTAGTAGTAACAACTTCCGTCCTTCCTCGCAAGATCGCGTCTTCGTCTGTTCCAAATTTAGCTGGGGCGGATCGTTGTACTGGTGCTTCTCTCAAAATGTTGGCATTGTCATGGATTCGTAGTAAAATACATGAACCTTTTATCGTCTCGCAGATTTGTTCGTCTTTTGCTTAGATGTGCTTTGCACATTCTAACGTGACCCGATAGCACACGTCCACTGACCACTGTGGCTACTTCGTGGATGATAGTTTGCAATCGAACGGGTGCTCTTTCATTGAACGATGCGACTTTCGTGGGCTGTGATGTTTGTGGTTGTGATGGTGAGCAACGTCTCTGCCCTGGTGGCCTGATCATCGACGCGTGACGTCACTTTTAGCCAAGACTGGTACGTGCTCCGAGCTGCACGCGTGTTCGGTACGTGGCTTCCCTCTGATTCGCGTTACTGCAAACTGGCGAACTCTCGCAAAGCGATGATCATCTTCGCTCTCGCTGCTGTCCGGAGACTTCGGAGAAGAAACACCAAATCTCGAACTGGAATTCCTAGCTTACTCTGATTTCGCGCACTGCATCGCCTTGCGACGCGACGCACTACCTCTTACGATGACTAGTTTCATGGGCATTGATTCTGGCTCGTACCGTCTTAACGTCTCGCGTGTCTGCTTCATTTGAGAAGACCAGATCAATGCGTTCCATTCACCGCTCGGGGGTGCTGGTGTTTCACAATGTTGCGCTGCTTGCCCCTAGCGTTCACGCGATCATTCCTTCGCCTGGCAAGGTGCCCAGGTGCATTCACACCACCTGCCTCTTATGGTAAAATGCGCCTTCTATTTCAGGTTGAGACTATCAGCATACATCGCCGAGACACAACTCAACCCCAATCTAGGACAGTATCATAGTCAGACACACAGATCCAAAGATGGTACCTCCAAAATCACAGCAACAGCAGGAGCAGGACGCATGGGATGCTCGGAGGGTTTCGTGGCTTCTCCCTGAAGCAAGAGTGTATTCGTCTCCCATGATGTCAACAAACTACGGCAATAACTACGTCAAGTACGGCAACATGAGTCCACATATTGGCTACGCTCAGGATACGCCAGCTGTCAACCCAATATTCGCGCCTCAGTACTCTGCTCAACAATTTGACCAACATAGTGTTGTTGCGCCGCCTAATACTCACCGAGGCACACAGAGCTACGCACACTCTGCTCACCCGTCCGAGATGTATGCTTCTCTTGATGAGGCTATGGCTGCCATGCCGTCACCTGATTGGAGCCCACCCTTCAACGACGACACCCTTCCAACATCAGATGCGCGCCGCCAGCAGTGGGTCCAAAGGCTCCTCGATGCCGTCAACAACGTCAAGTATACCCAAGGCAACAAAGGCAAAGACTTCCAGAAGCGTTGGAGTGATCCCGTGACAGGGCCAAGTAACTACTACCTCTTTCTGAATAAACTCATCCTTTGCTGGAAAATTGAGGATCTAGTAGAGCGCTTGCACCGGTTTGGGCCGTCGGTACTGCATTCCTTCGACGATAATTTCTGGGAGTCAGCAGGGCGAACACGGGGCTGGACGTTCCAACACCGAATGAATCAGATCACAGAACTGCTCGCTGTTTCCAAGACTAGATGCGACTCCTTGCTCGGCGGCAGTACTCTGCAGAACATCGTAGCTAACCCAGGGGAGCGCGCCGTTGCAACCAGGACACAAGCAAGGCAGAATGCGAAGCGTGGTAAGACACTGAAGGTTGGCCGGGTGGCGAAGAAACGGAAGGCAAGAGGGCATCAAGGGTAGGCATTTTCTTTAGCAGTGTAAAGAATGATCAACGGGGTACTTCGTGAGTCTTGGTATCAAGCCTTGGTATTCCGATTAACGGACTTATTTTCCAGTGAACTGTCGTGACGTTGTAGCGAGGAGCGATAGGTTTTTTTCCTGATGCGGAACTGAATACCAGTGAGTCCGATCTTGTCGTGACCGCGATCGGTGTGATGGTCGTGACTACCACATCTTCGTCGGAATACGGCACCGGATAGCCATCATATACTCATCATACTATGCTCAACGCCTTCAACTAGTCCATCTGAATGTTCGCTACTACTATGCCAACGCTTGTCTCGCTCCATCAAGTCGACTTAATATCGCCCAGAAGAAGTGTTTCCGGATCATTCGAGGAAGTCGAACGATCTACATCCCGCGTAGACGCATGGATTTGCGGCCGCGGTCAAAAGCAGTTGCCACATCCGAACTAAGAGCCGCACTCATGCAGGGCCAGGAGCTACCGGGTGGATTCGCACGGCGTGTGATTGGTGTCGCTGCCAGGGCCGTGTTCGGTATTTTCGCCTCCCCATATCCCCGCTGTGCCTAGATCTGTGCCAAGTTAGAAGAGTAGAATGCATGATGCATGCGCAAGTGGGTGATCTGGCTAGAGCGAAAGTCAAGCCAGCCGTTTCAAAATTAGACAGACCCTTATCTCTTGAGAAGGTTAACCATTGTAGGTCTTCCGGTGAAGATGGGGTTGTGGCTTGCGTCCGTTCGAGCTATGCAAATCTTCGGCTAGATAGTGGTAGTTCATACCGAATTCAACTATTGCGAAGGATTTCAATCAGGCACAATCTCGGCGCGTATAGCCAAAGTCTCGGGCCTGGAGCCGGAAGCCGTAAAGCAATGTGGCCTCCGTGGGCGCATGCCATCCTCAGGCCACAACTGTGGATACGATATTATGCAATTGTTACCACGTCCAAGAGTACACACGAGTAATTGTAGTCGTTTCGGCGTTTGAACTCGGAGTCTTGGTGTGAAGGATTTAGCGAGGACACGGGGGGCCTTCCCCCGTCCAAACGTTATCGCCTCCGCCGTCATCCCCACACCTCTCCTTCATCCACCCAATCCTGAGCATCTACCAAACCATATTTGGTCTTTTCGCGCATCAGCAAGGTTGAGGTCAGGTCATGTTAGCCAGCACACCTCTACCGCCAAGACCGGATTGTCCCCGCTCACACTTCACGTCTCGTGCGCGCTTGTTGTTCACTCTGCCGCGTGCGCGAAACATCCAACTACCCGGGGACCGCAAGCCGCACCATCGGGCCTTGCACCAGTGCTTAGTCCGCACATAACACCAAAAACAGTCCAGACCAACAGTTTGACCGGATGCGTATTGTCCGATCACTAACAATAGCTGAAGGCGCGGTGTTGGGACGTTGTCACGGACCTCCATGAACAAAGGATGGGTGTTGAAAGAAGCCCACTCAAGGGCGCTCGGCTGACGACGAAGCATCTTGGCCGTCGTATGTGCCGTTCTCCATCTTGGCTTACAACGAGGCGAGAAAAGCTTCGGCAGCCGCGGCGGCACAGCTCTTCGCTGCGGGGTCAGTCGCCAAGTTTTGTGGCTGCTTCACTGGCTCGAAGCTTCTTTGCGAGCAAGTCTCGCGAGGAAGCTTCGCCAGCGCTTACGGAGCTTGGTCGGACACAAGCACAGAACGGTTTTCGGTGCTACTACGCATATCAACGAAGTTGTTGTGGTGTGGTCGCGCAATCTGTAGTCGGAAAGTTACCACGTTTGCGGGAATTCGAAAGGGCGACCCCATGGGGAAGATGTCAACGGCGTCGTAGGATCGTCACACCCACTTCTTTCCTCCGCTCTGAGAGAACGCACTGATACGTCCGATCCGACCCCGGGACATGTTCTGTTTTGTCACTTGCGCAAAAGCGCTAGCTTGGCCCACCGGAAGGCTTAGTGTAAAATAGCGCTCTTGGCGGACCGGAGATGGTTACATTCACGCAAATCGTCCAACAACAATTCTGCACGGACGGACTTGGCAGAACTTGGCTCGCATCAAGACTCAGCGGCTGACTGACATGGGCGTTGACAGTATCGTTACGAGGCGTCCTGGTCAGCCAAGATGAGTCCGGGTATATATTGAGCTGCCCCGCGCTCGATCTTGAAATCAGCAGTGCGATCGGACTTGCGCCTACATCTACAGGGCAGTCTTCTTACCTTCTCATTGCCTCCAAGCTCAACTCAAGTTACCACTAGCACCATGGCGAGCACCAACCGCCCAGCAGACCCATTGGCAAAGGGTATCATCCCCACCGCCAAACAGAGTCTCAAGGATCTCTTCACTTGGGACCAACGTGTAGTGGTTCGCAATGACTACGGCGAGGAGCACTGCGAGTGGCAAAAGCCAGAGCCTCTCAAGAATCCCATCAGCCTGTTTTCTCAACTCAGCTTAAAGGATTGGCTTTAGTAAGTTCTGACTGTAAGAAGTGCATGTGAGACATATACTGACTTCGTACCTCTACGTCTGCAGCTTCCTTGTCGGATTCCTCGCATGGACTGCCGATGCCTTTGACTTCCACGCGCTGTCAATTCAGACTACCAAGCTTGCCGACTACTACGACACCTCGAACACTGCTATCTCGACGGCCATCACCCTGACACTGCTTCTCCGCTCGGTCGGCGCTGCTATGTAAGTAATTGCCGATGTACGAACTGCATGTGAGACAGACACTGACTTCATACTAAGGTTCGGCGTGGCCGGCGACAAGTTCGGTCGAAAGTGGCCCATGGTTCTTAACATGATCATCCTGGGTCTTCTCCAGGTTGCTACCATCTACGCTGGAACTTTCCAGCAATTCTTGGCTGTACGGAGTCTCTTCGGTCTCTTCATGGGAGGTGTTTACGGAAACGCCATCTCCATGGCGCTTGAGAACTGCCCGTAAGCACATCTGATTAATTACATGAAAGTCCCGTACTGACATTCGCAGGGTCAACGCCCGTGGTCTCATGAGTGGTATCTTACAGCAAGGTTACTCATTTGGTTATGTGCTCGCAGCTTGCGCCAACTTGGGTGTCGGTGGTGCGACCAACACTTGGAAGACCGTCTTCTGGGTCGGCGCCGGTTTCTCGATCGCTGTCGGTCTCATCCGCGTATGCTTCCCTGAATCGAAGCAGTTCTTAGAGGCAAAGAAGGCTGGACACAAGAAGGCGCCCGGTGCCTTCTGGGCCGAGACAAAGCAGATGCTTCGCAAGGAGTGGAAGATGTGTGTCTACTGCATCATCCTCATGACTTGGGTATGATAAGCCGATTATAAGTTGATGGAGTAACGCTAACATCCACCAGTTCAACTACTACTCCCACACTAGCCAGGACAGCTACACTACTTTCATGAAGGAGCAGAAGCATCTCAGCCCCGCAGGTGCTACCCGTGCTTCCATTCTCATGAAGACCGGTGCTTGCGTTGGTGGTACCATTCTTGGATACACCTCGCAATGGTTCGGTCGTCGCCGCATGATCGTTTGCGCTGCCTTGATCTCCGCTTGCCTCATCCCCGCATGGGTCCTCCCCACAACTGAGCGTGGTCTATCCGCTTCTGGTTTCATGATCCAGTTCTTCGTCCAGGGTGCTTGGGGTGTCATTCCCATCCACTTGAGCGAGCTGTCACCGCCTGCTTTCCGATCCTCTTTCGTCGGTATCACCTACCAGCTCGGAAACATGATTTCCTCGCCCTCCGCTCAGATCGTCAACGCCGTCGCCGAGGCCACTATGATCAGCACTGCAAAGGGCGAGCAGTCTCCCGCTTACGGACCAGTCATGGCTGTTGCGACTGCAATCATCGCTCTCGGTATTGCTGTCACTACTGCTCTTGGCCCCGAGAAGAAGGGTCGTCACTTCGAGGAGGCTGGTCCTATCGGTGCCAACATTGAGCCAGTCAAGGATATTGAGACTGGCAGTATGCACAGCGAGAAGGATGGCGTTAAGGCAGTTGAGGTCGTTGACGGCTCCAACCACAACGAGAAGGCTTAAGCATGCCCTTCCACCAGATCTTGTCTGCAGTGCAGAGCATGTTGAGCGGTTGAGCCGCTGGCTGATACCCACAATGATGATACCAAATAGGTCCATATGACCATGAGATATGAGGAATGAATAAGAACATGAACAACGATAATTCCCTCGCTTTCTCGTGCTTTGTGTGCCATGCTCAACCATCATTACTAACACCGCATAATACCTCTCGCGCATTTCACGTAATGTGCTTCATGCTCTCCACATACGCCCTGCGCATGCTCCACCGTAGAACGGAGCAGAGCCTCATGCACTCTTCCCTTCCGCACGTGGTCAGTACCAAGATCGCCCAGATCTGACTACTGTAATTGGGTGGATACAGTACCGGAGGCCTTGTTCGGTTCCGAGTCATGTCGGAGTAGCAATGGTCCGATCGCGGCGTTTGCCTGACAAGGTATACCGAAGCCTGCCAAGTTTACGGGTAGAGTGGCACGGTGGTGGGGGGTCGCGATGTTGTTTTTCCAGCGGAATGTGTCTGCTTTCTGATTGTACTCTCTAATGCTGATGTAATGCTAATAGGTGACCTACAGTGGTAGCGCGAGCTGGCTGGTGGCTAATAGAGTTGGACGGCTTGCCTAATTGCGCCACAGATGAGCTTATCAAAGCCCGCGATTTCCCTATCGCTAATGGGGAGCTTGCGCTCGGGAACTTCACGCTGTCTCATTGCTTGATCTCACGCTCCATCTCTTCATGGTGTATACATCCTCGTCAATCTCTCCCGAATCATGCAACAACTTCTTCAAATGAAGTTGCGTCCTAAGGCGTACTTGCTGCGTGAATAGGCTGTCGCAGGTGCCTTCGTAACAGCTCACCCTGGTCTTTGCTGAATGGAAGCAGATGGTGCGCAAGGAGCGAACTGGGCGTATCTACCTTGCCATGACCGCACATTTAGCCTATTGGCAAGGCAGACATGCGCTCTGCAATGGCGCATGTGGTGTTACGATATGCAGCCAGCTATCGAAGGCCGCGTCCCAGGTCAGCGTGCAGTCGCGGGGGTTGGCAGACTCAGCCCCAACCACAATCAAGCAGCTTACAAGACCGCGTCAACTTATCATGAGCATAGCCTCAAAGAGTCAGGTTGATAGCATTAAGAAGATTTCCTGACGCCCCCGCACTCTCCAGAGACGCACCTGTGGAAACTCTTTGCCCAACCAAGATTTTTGCACCAGAATTGCAACATCGTCAGCCTCTCGTTCATCTACGCGGGATCAAGTGCCTACTTCTATATCTTGTGTCATTCTTATATTGATCATGGAAGTCACAGGCGTGGTCATTGGGGCTGTCGCACTTGTTAGTGTTTTTGAGACTTGTGTAAAGCTCCTGTCACATATCGGTGCGGCAAAATCGATGGAGAGCGATTACATGCGGCTCGAGACGAAGTTCGACTTCCAAAAAACGATCTTACTACAATGGGCGGATCGAGTGAAGCTCCAGGACCAAGAAGAGTATGATGACCGACTTGATGACCCACACATCGGTCCCATGGTCATGCGCGGACTGGAGTGCATTCGTCAGCTTCTCGAAGACGGGCATGCATTACAACAACGTTATGGAGTTAGGCCGGTCAAAGAGGGTGAGACAACTGTATCACCATCAGTTGTCAGTAGCCGTCTTATGTCCCATTTTCGCCAGAAGTCGCAGGCGCTTCGTTTGCGGCGCAAGGATCCGCCGTCTCAACCAGATCTGTCCAAGTTGCCCTACGATCTTGGCTCCGCGGAAGAAGAGAAAGGAGAGCCAAGGTTTGCGAAGATCACCTGGGTAGTCAAGGACAAGGAGCAATTCGAAGGCCTAATCAGGGAACTTTCTGATCTCATCAACGATATCGACCGCGTCGTACCACCCCGTGGACTTGAGGATATAACACGCCACGCTTTGAGCAACGAGATCCAACGACTACACAATATTCCCAACCTCAGATCAATCTTGAATGCTTTAATCGACGATAGCGAAGGACTTGCCGATGTCACAAGGCAAACGATCGATGCAACGTGTAAACAATCAATCCTCAATCGCCTTTGGTTTCGCTTGATAGACAATCGAAAAGACCTCATCTCCGAAGCACACTCCAAGACTTTCGAATGGGCTATTCATCCACCCACTTCAGAGGATATGTGGGACAACCTTGGTGAATGGCTACGATCAGGATGTGGTAGCTATTGGATATACGGTAAGCCGGGAAGCGGCAAATCTACGTTGATGAAATATTTGTATAGCCATCCCAAAGTCACGGAATATTTGCAGCAATGGGCAGGCGATAGAAAGTTGACGATAGCTTCCTTTTTCCTATGGAATCTTGGGAGCGTCGAACAGAAATCACAACAAGGCCTTGCACGAGGGCTTCTGCATCACGTACTGAGTCAGAACCAAGCACTCATTCCAGTCGTGCTTCCACACATGTGGCAAGAGGCTCAAAACGGTGCTCCGGAACTCGGACTTCCTTCGGACATTGAAATGCAACATGCATTCCAACGCCTCGGAACCGAATCAACGAATGGCGCCTATGCCATTTTCATCGATGGTCTCGACGAGTTCACAGGAGACCTTATGAATGGTATCTCGTTTGTACAAAGCTTTGCAAACTTTCCCGATATCAAGATACTTCTCTCCAGCCGGCCCTACGATACATGCGAGGCAGCTTTCTCCGAAAGACCAAAACTGGGGTTACATGATCTTACCAAACACGACATAGAAACGTATATCAACGATACGATACGCTCTCATCGCTATGTGGCAGACTACATGTATGCAAATGGAGCTGTAGTTGATCACTTGATCAAAGATTTGCGAGACAAAGCCGAGGGTGTGTTCTTGTGGGTTGTCCTGGCTTGCCGCACCTTGATTGCGGGGTTCGTAGCGGGCGATAGAAGAAAGGAACTTCAGCAGCGAGTTGATGAGCTTCCACCAAAGCTTAACGCTCTCTTTCGCCAGATACTGGATGGTCTTCCAGCTCGCGATCTCTCGCAAACTGCCAAACTCTTGCGAGTTTGCTACAACAGCAGTTTGCTTCAAATCTCCGATTCGGTCTCCACCTTGGCATTAGCATGGGCTGATGAGAAAGAGATGGACAGCACCGCGATGGGAGGCTTTACACAATACTCAACTGATGAAATGCAGGCACAGTGTACACTATTGGAGCGCCGTCTACGCAGCCGCTGCAGAGGGCTGTTGGAGATACATCGCCACTCTGACGGAGCGTCTCCTACTGAATCCAGCGGAATAGAGACATCTTCTGTGGGTTTCATGCATCGAACAGTGTTCGAATATCTCAGCGACCCAACCGTCTGGGAAATGAAATGTCTGCAGGTGCATGATGATGGATTTGACGCTACAGCGGTCCTATCATATATGTCGTGCTATCTCCTGTACCTTCAAGAAGAGCCAATTCGTACGAAAACAAACCTTTTAAAACAAACCCTGGCGTATGTACAGCATATTGATCGAACATCACCGTCACAAACACCACGCATCCTCGACCGATTCGCACTTGCGCTAACGGACCCGCGTCTTACATCGGGAAAGAGAAAGAGGGAGCAGTTCTTTGACTCCTCGGGCAATCACCTTTCACTATCTCACGCAACTCTAATATTGGCTGTGGAAGCCGACTTGATAGGTTGCATCCGGGAGCAAGACGTGCGCTCATACAACGCCTCTCGGAGACAGCAAGATGTGCGCACATCTAATACCTCGCGGAAGTATCACGATGACCCTGTTGAAAAGTCCCACATACCATACCAGGACGATCCCGTCGAAGGGATCGGTCTACTTTACCCTGACGACCCCACTGAAGGGTCCAATCTGCTGTACCATGCCATCAAAAGTCCTCTGATGCGCAAGTTCGGCATCCATGTACCATTATCGGCAGCCATGATCGCTACTCTCATCGAATGTGGGTGCGATCCAAATGAGAGCGTCCTCGGTAATGCTCATGTGATGACTACTCCCTGGGAAACATGGAAGACGTATACCATGCGACACAACTCCCTCCAGATGGCTTTGCGGGCCGCCGAGATAACAGCATCATTGATTCGTGGTGGTGCAATGCTCAAGCCTCCAACTCCCAACGGTCTTACTGTTCAGACGGCTGATAAAGATTGGCGTTCCGAGATTATCAGTGCGACTGGAGTGTGGTTGGATATAGCGGAAAATTCGACTCAGAAGAGTTTGCATGATTGTGAGAGGTTAAGGGAGTGTTGCAATGAGATCGTACAAGCGGTCGTAGCCAGTCATGGAGTGATTGTGGTTGGCAGCAGGGGACGATTGGCAGTGTAGTTGCTGAGAGCAACGCATGATGCTCTACTCAAGTATTTACTGTTACTTCCTGAACAGACAGTCACAGCGAAAACCTGATAGCAAGACTCAGATATGACTTGGCAGAGTGATTGCGACGTCCTCAAGATCTGCAAGTCGTGCGTAAGGAAAGTTAGTATCCATGACTTGGACCAAACTAGTGGCAATGTAGACTTCGTGGTATGTTCAATTCTGTTCTTGACGCAGGTGCCACGAGAAGGGAAGGTAACCCCAGTTAAAACCTCTCGCCTTACGTCATTACCATAGGCTCGTACCTCACTTCTTAGCCATCTCCGCCTTCCATTACGCGAGGGGCGTCTTGCCGCTCGACCTTCCCAGCGATTTGGTGAACTCGTGAGCGTTGGCAGCGCCTCTCTTGGACCGCAGCGGGAGTGCACGAGGAGGCTTGAGTGTGTCCTTGTGTTCATGAACCACAGCTCCAATCTCAGCCTTCTCCTCATTTTCCTCTGCAACTTCCTTCTCCTGCGCTTTCTCTTCGCCATTGTCGTTCTCCACCACCTCATCTCTCTCTAGATCAATCATGCCAAGAAGAGGATTTACAGGCTTCTCCTCAGTCTCATCCTCATCTTCGTCCTCGCTCTTCGCATTATCTTCGTCTGTGCGTGCCATCTCAGCTCTCTCTTCATCAGTCATACCAGTAAGAGAATCGATGAGCTTTTCTTTAACCTCATCCAGCTCTTCGCGCACCACGGCTAGCACCTCGATCAAAGCCGGGTCGTTTTGGTATCTTGCCTTCACTTACGTTAATGCGTATCTCGAATGCTGTTTACACATCGACATACCTTAAACATGGCTTTGCTGTACATGTCCTCTGCGAACAATCGCCAGTATTCTGCCTCCCTCCATTCGCCCTCGGCGCAGGCAATCAGGAGTGCGTTTTCGATAATCCAGTACCATGATATGTAGCCAACTTGGAGGTTTAACTTCGCTGCTGCGATTGCCTGTTCGGGGTCGACATCAAAGAGATCGCTGGCGGCTTCGTATGCCTCTTCGTTCGTTTTCGGCGGCATTATAGGGATCTTAAGGTGCGCCAGCCCTGGCGGTTATAAGGAGGTTGAAAGGGTATGGGAATGCGGGGTGTAGTGATGCGAGGGAATATCGCGGAGAAAACATCGAAATCCACGCCAAGACCCTGCAAACGCGAGGCGGGTGCGTGCTGCGCACAAACTTTTCCCCTTGATAGACGAAATATCAGAAAATCTCCGCCTGCAGGAAATCTACCTGTACATAAAGTCGATCCGGACTCCAGTCAAATCGAGCCAGCCGAGCATAGCGGATACTTGGGTTTCGCTGAAACAACCATGATCATGATCCGCGCTGGTGCAGATGTAGCAGGCTATGGGGTATATCTGAAGAGATTAGCTTACAGATGGATGAGAAAGATGGGAAAATCATCGTGTGTGAAAGACCAGGAAAGAATGAAGGAGCTCTGGAACGAGATGGAACAAGCAGTGGTAGCCGATCAGCAGGAGGATTGGAGCGTACCGGATTGCAACTCTGATTCCGATTGAAGCTGTGTGCAGTTTCGTCTACGGAGCCTTTGTCTAGCGCAACATCATAAAGTGATACACCTTGATATTGTCAGTCTCTATATCATCGTCAGTATCAGTTGCAGTTAGGCTTGAGCTCGTTCAACGTACCATACACTCAATGACACGCCACGATTGAACCACGGCCGAATGCAAGTGAGAAAGGTTACCTCGGAGACTGGGAAAAGTAAGGAGTAGATGAGTTTCGACTGTTTTTGCTCATTTGAAGTGTGTAATATTGGCAAAAAGACCAAGGAGAGGAGTTATATACAGCTATAGCCAAAAACGCATAGCATATTCAACGAAGACGAAGAACGAGCAAGTCTCTCTAGTAACCTGCAGGCTTCCCCATGCCAGAATTCCCAGATGTTTACTTCCTCCTGTTCTGGCTCATGCCCAGGATCTGGACCATGCGGACGAAGATGTTAATGAAGTCCAACTCGAGCGAGATGGACTCATTGACGGGATCCTTGGGGATCAAGCCGCGCTCGGCCTGGCGCGCATGGTTGAGCACCTTCTGTACATCGTACTGCAGAGAAGTCAGTATACGTTTCAAAGGCATTTCGTGAGGTCTGATCGTACTAATGTGAAGCCACCTGTTGTCAATATTAGCGAATGTCTCATAGGCAATACGGGCGAGGGGAAAGAGGCTGACCAAATACGGCAAGTCCACCATATAGCCAGATGTTCTCGGTGAACATAAGTGTGCGGGCAGCGGTGGCGGGAATGACGAGTGGAGCGAGGCCAGAAAGCGCCACAATGGCCACGCCGCCCAAAAGCGGTGCTCCTAGGTAGAGGTACTTATCCGTCTTTGCAGTCGCACCTGAAGATACGAAGTCAGTATGTGTCTAACATGCACTTCGTACGGGCCACAACTTACCAACGAAAGCGATTGAACCCATCATTCCAGCAGTGTAGAGACCGGCGCGAGCGAGGATGGCAGGGTGCATGAAAAAGAGGGGTGACAGGAGGAGGGCTTGGGTACCGTTGAAGGCAGTCCAGAGGGCGTACTTTTGAACGTAGCTGCGTCGGGTTAGCACATCTAGTCTGCAAAACAATATCGATCTTCACACTTACTTAGACGGCGAGGTAGCCATAGTTCCATACATTGTGCCGATGCTTCCAACCAGACCAACTCCAAGTACCAGCCATGGGTTTGCGCTCATAAGCCTGAAGCTCCAGCCGTTCATGTGCAGCGCGCGGGCAGCAATGCCGATCATTCCAATACCGAGGCCAGTGTGCATGAAGGTGTCGTTGAGGTATTCGCGCTCGAATGGCGGCATGCCGCCATCCTCGCGTGTCTCGCGGTTGAAGATAAAGTTGATGCCTAAAAGGGTGGCACCGAAGATGCCGGCTCCATACAGCATGCGCTGTCGCAAGTCGCCCTGTGCCACCGGGTTGTATGCAGCCTGCTGGTATCCGCGTCGGAACGCTTGCTGAAACTTGGAAACATTGTGCGATGTCGATACCGTGGGCTTTGCGGGGCGGAAGAAGTGCGACTGCTGCTTCAGTGGCGTGTTGTGGAATGCGCGGATCGTGAGGGTTTGCGGTGCTTTCGGCGATGCTTGTCGCAATGTTGCCGTGATGGCGAACGGTCTCCGTAAGAGGGACGCCATGATGTGTGTGTGCCTTTGCGATGTTGTTGTCGATGGGGAGGTGGAAGGCGGCGTGATAATATAGGTGAACGGGTAATGACGTTTTGCGCGGTGGAAAGCGCGAGAAATGCCAAGCCGCCTTAACTCCGAGGCGTGTTCACGCTATTTGCTCGACCACGGGGTCATGCATTTGTCACTTCACAGTCATGATGAAAGAGCCTATTCAGGTGACATATCGTGTGCATTGCTCTGACTAGATTTCGGAGTGGCACACTCAACTTGTAGGAAAGCGTTGGAAGCTGTGGGCCAGACCAACGGCGGTGGTAACACAGCGTAATAGGTTCCTCATAACACTTACACGTCTATCGCGAACTATTCTCTTTCGACTCCAATTCCAGATTGTCCTTCTCTTCGGTTCTCTTGCTAGCAATACAAACGTCACTCTTGCGCCGCGATGCTGCCCTGTACTCAACAGCGTAAGGAAGAGCCTGAACGTCGATGATCCGATGGAGGGTAGTCAGATTTCTGACTCCTCGAGGATGTCCTGTACAGTAGCAAGCTTTTGATACCCATCAAGCTACGATGTGAGTTATGCGTGCTTGGTGCCGGTTGGAAGGGAATGCGTGGTAATGCCGTAATTTCATCATCCCGGCTGTACATCGATGTCAACTTGCTGCGTGAACTTCGCGGCGGTGTCTGGAGCTTGACAGGCATGGGGGCATTGATTTTATCGAATTCTACGACGTGTTCTTTGATGTCGCTGACCGCATCATGATACATCGTAGTGGGATCGGATGTCTTGATCCGGGTAATTCTGGCGGGAATCCGGCGAAGCCCCGGCGTATATGTTTCTGGCTGCTCATCTGGAGAAAGACTTGGAACATCATCCACATCTGGAGGAGGGGGATGTACAGACTTCGGTATCGTCTCAAGTAGATCGAAGTTGAAGTTGAAGCCAGAGAAACGGCTAGGTGACTTCCAGAACTCGTTCGCGATAAGAGGAGGGCCAAGCATGTCTACATCTTTCTGGTATGCGTCCCAACGTCCCTGCGTTTCGCGAGCAGCGCCCTCTGCGCTTCTGATTTGAGACCGCTTGCGGTGGCCGGCGATCGTATGACGCGGGCCAAGGTCCTGGTTGTATATTTGTGAGGCACTTTCGAGCTGAAGGATCCGTGTTTGCATGTCGAGCATTGCCTCTCTCTGTGTCGCTAGCTCGGCCTGAACATTGTGGATAATTTCGATCAAAGTGCGGTTCGTCTGGCGCAATTGAGATTTGGTGATCGAGGTTTGGGATGGCCGCCTTGACCTGGAAGAACGCTGGTGCACGCTCGAGGATTCATAGGCTGCGGCGATGGATCCTTCGGGGCCACTCAACAAGTCCAGCATAGTTGCGCCAGACAGGTTTGCCTTGTGGCTTCGAGATGCGCTGTCGTCATGGTAGAAGGTATGTGCGGCTTTAGGTGTGTTTGTGTTTGGAGAGTTGAGAAAAGTCGCCATCTTGCTGTATGCGTGCGTAAGAAAGCTGGAATGACGACGGTCAAGTAAAGAAAGTTAGTGCTAGTGAGCATGAACGCCTATATTGATTTTGCAAAAGCATTGCGATGTTTCGTCGTTTCCTCATCACCCTCAGACGCCAACCCGTTTCGCCACTGTAGTTAACTTCGCAGGCATGCGATGCTGATACTATAAGGAGTGCCGCCAGGGGCACGGAGCTGATGAGCATTATCATTCGCTCAATGTGCAACGGAGGTGTGGCGCTGGGCTAATCGCGTCACGGTGAGCATGCGAGAAGAACTACAAACGTCGTCAAGACGCTGGTGTCGGGGCTGTCCTGGCGTTGTGGGTTTCAGCTGTCGAGGATCGTGTTTCGGCCAGGAGCGCGGAAGGCACGGCTCTAGCCCTGGAGGCTGCCGAGGTCGCTTGCACAGACCTGGATCGCGACTAGCGCAGTTCTTAGCTCATGGAGAACATTCCGGACTGCGACAGAAAATCGCGAAGCTTATGTCACATTACTATACCTACCGCTACAACTCTAAGAGCAGCAGGTCTGTGTTTTCCGTTGAGGAGTCACAGGCTGCTCCTTCTTTGCAGTGACACCTTGAAACCCATGCCAGGGTGAGCCATGCCCAGGCACTTTCTGCCGGCGCGCAAGAGCGGCTTTACGCACAGATAGAGGACCTGGCAAGGAAGTTCCTGTACTGCCAATATCTCTTGCAGAGCATAGTCGCGTTGTTGTCTTCTTTGGTTGCCTTATGCCGGCTGCGGCAGCAATGCTGACGATCAAGTCTTACGCACCCCGCAATGACGATGGCACGTCTGCATTCCGAGCTCACGATTATGCGAAGACCACGCACCTTCCAAACCTGCGCCTTATCAAGGCTCCCGATACTGCTACCTCAACCGCGCGTACTCGCCTCAAGCACGCTCCTGCTGGTCGCATATTGCCGCTTGGGCTGCCGGATATCCACAGCCTATGGTAGAGGTGCTGACAATGCGCGATCTGCTCACCAGAATCACCTTGAGGAATCTCCGACAATGTAGGTGCTAATTTGAGCGCTGGGGAATGGATGAATATCGTCGAAGAGGGAGGGGTCATCGTCCGAAGGGCACCGCAAGGACAGGCTACCTCTCGGAACTGAGTAGCTAATCTTGAGCGAGTGCTCCGAGGAGTAAGAGAAGCCGGTCTTATGGTATCGACTGCTACAACTCGGCAAGAAGCATGTCACCGGCTTTACGACAAGTGGAAATCATTCCGCGGTGAACGTGGGTAAACGGTCGAGCCATGTACAGAACGCTGCTCTCAGCGACGTGACATGTTCAGCCCCATGTCACATACGGCAGCTGCCAGGATCTGCATCCATCCAGGCACATGAGACACGCACACTCGGCTCCATAGGCCCGACCCGTTCGAAGACATTGTTGGTGCTGAGAAATACGGGTCATGCCATTTGCTCCACTTACGAGCCTGCCGGTTTTCATCAATGCAAAAGTATATCTAGATGGTGTCTTGGCCGCCCGACTATACATGTGTAAGCCCCAGTAAAATCCGACCGCCCTCCCCTCGCTTAGCCGAGACTGGCTAAGTAGATTCAACGATTTTGTATCCGTCTTCAGATGCAGCATCGAACAGCATTCCACCAACCTCGAACCAGAAGGTATTTAGCTGTACAAGCTTGGGGATGCTCGCTTGTGCATTTTTAGATGTATAGATCCAGATTCGCATCATTACGCGGACGCATCACACCGCATTCAACTACCGATCACCACGCGTAGCACTTCCGGTTAATATACGACTGGTCGACATTAGCCACACGTCGTCCTGGAGAGTCGTACCAAGACTACCATGCCGCATGCACTCCGCCGCCAAGATCGGGCACTAGATGAACGCTAATCTAGCTGCGGCGCGTGTACCGAAGCGAGCAATTGCCGCTGCCTATCACAGCAATGTTGATTATGGACCTCATCCTAGACAATCTGTGGAGAGTAGCACACAGCAGGGAACGCAGTTCAGACTGCGCGGTGACGAGAACAGCGACGGCACAGATGTGTAGATCCAGAACGATGTCATTAGCACCTGCAGGAATGCCGCACCAAGGCGCAGCAACCGGAAAGTATAAGAAGGTCGACTACATGGCATCTTGAGATCATCTTGGGCCTCCTCACGTTCACAGAGCATTCGCAGACGTCATGGTTCAGCTCACAAAAGCCCTCACCGCCGTTCTCTTGGCTACCGGTGTTGTGGCACATCCTGGTGGCAACACCAACAAGGAAATCTTGAGAAGGCAGGCTCATTTGGATCACCCAAACCGTCGAAGTGTTCAGGCATGCAAAAGAGATCTCGTCGAAACCGGATGGGTCCGGGAGCAGCACCAGAGGCGTGAGGCAAGGCTTCACGAGCTTCGGGTTGCAGCTGGATTCGCAAAAGAACACGAGTTCGTCCGTCGTGACGTCGCTGAGGTCGAGGAAAGCTACGGTGCTGAGGCAGCATGCACGCTTGATCCTGAGTCCACTGAAGGCCCATACTGTAAGTGAAGAAAGCTGTATCTCTTGAGACAGGTTGGCTTACATACTTACAGGGGTCACCGGTGAGCTCGTTCGCCAGGACCTCTTGACCGGAGAGAAGGGTGCCATCACCCACTTGGACGTCAACATCATCGACACTTCATCTTGCAAGCCTGTCACTGATGCCTACGTCGAGATGTGGGGAAGTAACGCCACCGGTGTCTACACGGGTGTTCAGGCGAAGGGCAATGGCGACGGTTCGGCTACCGCTATCAAGACTAATGCTCTTCGCGGTGTGCAACCCACCGGCGCCAATGGCACCGCTACTTTCATCACCGTTATCCCTGGGCATTACGTCGGCCGCACAAACCATCTTCACAGTACGCTTCACTCCTATCCGCTCCCCATATCTTAAACTGACAACCCTAGCCATCATCCACCATGGTGCTAAGCTTCTTCCCAACAACACCATCCAAGGCGGCACGGTCTCGCACGTCGGTCAGTTCTACATCGAGCAAAACTTCCTGGGTCAAGTTGAGAAGACCTCTCCTTACAACACGAACAAGCAAGCCATCACCACCAACGCAGTCGATCCGCTGTTCAACATGGCGAAGCAGGGTGGCGACGACCCAGTGATGAAGATTTCGCTCATTGGCAAGACTATCGAAGATGGGCTCTACGCTACCATCGATGTCGGCGTCAATCCCCGCGCGAGACAGAATCCTCAACCCGTGAATATGTGGACGGCAGATGGTGGTGTACCGGTCAAAGGAAGCCCATGGACAGGATACCCCGACACTTGCCTGTACTGTGGAATGAGGCCCCCGAAAGAGAAGAAGGACGTTCTCTCCGAGGAGTAAATTGCTAAGAGGAGAAAAGACACCGTAGTGTCGTGGGGCATGTCACATGCGTGGCTGATCCTTCTGACTCTCAACACCGAGCAATATTGTACATACCTAGGTAGCTTAGCTCCCAAGAATCAAGCTGCAATGACTTGTATGAATCCTGGGAGTGCATCAAATGTGACGGCGTAATAAACGTAATGGGCGGTATGTAAAAAGGTGGATCTTGTGGTTCGGGCGGAAGTAAGCCGGCAACTTACAAGCCGTTCTCAAGGGGTACCTGAGTGCCAAGAGCCTAGCACGCGCCGCCCCGCCCGCGGCGTTGGACGCGCCCACGCGTCGTTCCTCCACTCGACCTGCTCAACAAATGCACGCGACCATGTCGACCCTCCCGGTGCTGCCGGCAGATGTACATCTTTTGATATTGGATTATGTAGGCGCAGAGACCCTGAGACGCCTCCCAATGGCCAAAGTGCTAAGTCCAGCAGATCCACTTGCCTTCGCACCTCCAGGCCCTATGTCTGACGTCGAAAGCGCTATGCGACCTCGCCAGGCCTCGACTGTATCGGAAGGTCACCATCAACGTACTTGATCCATCGGAAGTCGCACGGTTCGAGAACTGCATGGCCGCAGGTGCCCAAGCGCATCTTGACGCTACAAGGAGTTTGACGTTGATGGACAGCCTTCCCCCAGCAGAAGCTCCCGAGTTCCAGACCAAGCCGCATCGACGCTTCGACCGTGAAGACAGGTTGACATCTGCTCAAAGTAGCGCGATAGAAGCGATACTAGACTGTTTCCCTCCGGACTGCCTACAATCTTTCCGGTGCGTCCTCGATCTTCGGAATGCTGCACATGCCAGCCTGTCGCATGCTCTCGTCATAACCTCGCGGACTGTCATGTCAGAACTTTACTGAATTGTGATAGGTTCCTCTCGACCCTACCGTTGCCGTCGAATATAGCACGCGAATTTTTCCTTAAACAAATGGGCACATTAACACACGTACATCTAAGACTCGAGGACCTATTTCAATTACAATACCTCGACTGTGTGCGAACTGCGGACCTCTGGCTCCCCCATCCAGAAGAAACCTGGTCGGAATTGGAGGAAGAGAACTTTCTGGACTCCCTGGAGGACATCGGCAAGTATAAGGATCTGGAGAGACTGTACCTTGGAACCAAGTTCGAGAGGTATTCAGACGAAAGCCGAAGACTCGCCGAAGCCTTTTCGTCTCTAGACGAATCGTATGGGCGCCTAGAGAAGCTTCGCCAACTTTCAATCTCCGGAATCCCTCTCGGCATCGATACATACGGGCTCAGCAAGATTATATCGTTTCCTCAGCTCACACATTTGACTCTTTGGGCATGTTCCTGTAGCCAAAGGTTCATCTCCAATTTGGTACATGAGCTCGGCGACCAGGACTTATCGTTGAAACATCTAGGACTGGAGCTAGTCGACGACGACGAGGTGGAAGACCCGGATGATGATACTCCCTACGAAGAGGACGATGACGCCGTCGAAGAGTTGATTAGCCGCTGTCCTGAATTGAAAAGTCTGTGTTTGCAGTGGAGTGATAGGGGGTGGATAGACTTTACGTTGGAGTCCTTCCAACAAATTCTGGCGATTGTTGGACAACAGCTTGTTGTTCTCTCGATACACATGTTGGACACTAGAGGGAACTTAGAGGATAGCGGACCATCATTTTGGAAAGAGATATCTCTAGCATGTCCAAACTTGGAACAACTCGCGTTCAATCTTGACTCTAACATGATGTTAGATTACAAAGGCGGGTTCAGTCCAAAATTGGTAAGATTGTGCAGTATTTGATTTCACGTTCCATCTCTAACATATATACAGTCACCCATCTGCAAATTGACCAAGCTACGCACCCTTCAACTTCGGGAAAGGTGGGGTCACGACTGCTGCAATTTCGGAGAGGAGAGTGACGATGTTTATGGAGACATCGAGCGCCAAGCTCATCTGTTTGCAAAAGATTTCTTTGCGCATCTAGAGAACCAATCTAGCTGTCCATCCCTGGACACGCTCGTACTGGGCATGGAAAACCAGGTCACGAACAGCAAAGAATTACAGGTCAGAAATCGCGGAAAAGAGATGCCGCCCGCGCGTTGCTTCCGCCGAACACGCAAGATTCGTGATGATGAAAGCACGCGCAGCGAATCCCTTCCCATATCTTTGGCAGAGTTCCGAGCGACAAGTGACTACACAGAGGTTCTGGACTGGTACACTGGCTGTGAGTGTCTCTATGCGAACTGCGTGTGAAGATATACACTGACTTTATACACCAATATTCAGGGCAGGGTGACTGCGACTGGATGTGGCGACTACCTGGCAGGTTCAACGATGATTAGTGTGGATTTATCTTCGACTGTGGGAGAGCCTCGCAACCCGGAATACACAAGAATATATGTTCATCCAAAAGAGTCACGCAAAGAAGACTTCGCGATTATTGGTTGGGTTCATCACCTGGTTGGTGGATGCTGAGATGGGTTCGTGGCCTAGATTGGGGTACCCCTCAACCCGACGCCATACTTTGGTAGCCATCCACGGGTACTGCGATGATCCATAGACGAAAGAAACTACCCACAGCTCCGACATACCTACTCCTCTCATCACGACTGCACCTGTTAAGATATGTGGTCTTGTGGAAGCACCTCATACAAGAAAAACCTGAACAGGTCTGGAGCCTACATCGACGCCAGTTTATCTATTTTGTATGCTTCTATGTTGATGTAGGCTGCAGACCTGTTCAGCTTTTTTTCTTGGTTGGTGTGGAAGGATCACTCGAGCAATGATGTTTGTAGTTGGCTTGCTGTCAGTCAAGGGTCACACCAAAACTGGGGTAGTTACGATGCAGGTGCATTCGCGATAGATGATGCGCACACCCCCTACACTTGTAATTTTGCCAACATAACGCTTTCCTACTATTAAAGAGGTCTTTCCCTCCTCCCGCAATTTCCTTTCCTGCTATTAACCATCTCCAGGTCTCCGCAGGCCTTGCTCAAACACCATTTCAAGGATCCAAGCTACCAATCATGTCGATCAAAAGGGTCCTCGTCTACGCGTTCGCGATATCTCTACTCCCTTGCCTAATCACCAGCGCAGCCACACCATCAAAAGAAGAGTCTCGCGTCAACATCAACTTCACCTCCCTCCTCGATGGCTCCTTAGGCTATTTACCCGCACTATGGCTTACTTCCCAAGGCGTTCTTGCCGAACTCCAAACGGTGTCAGAGTACGATCCACTTACTTCTCGGCAGCATCGTACCGACAAGGAAAATGGTGCCGTTACAGGGGCCTTTGTCGGCTCCATGCTTGTACCTTTGGTCACCAACCTCGCGGAATCCGACACTGCCACTCAAGGCATTTGCAAGTCCCTTGTAGCTGGTGCAACCGGTTCGCTTGGCGCTGTCGTTGGGCAAGAGGCCGGCAAGTTACTCTACCCAGCCAATCGCACATCAGCTTCAGAGTTCGAGCAAGCTATCGTTCCTGGCACATTCTTTGGTGGTGTTACCACAAACGCTGCCGGGACTGCGCTTACCAAAACCCTCTGCAAAGGCCTTGTTCCAGGTCTCGAAAAGCTTTGGGAAAATGCTGGAACCGGAGTGGAAGGGCGAGTCGCCGATTCACTTCACCGTGGTTTCCAAGAGGTCGTGACCAGTCGCTTGAGGGAGATGGGTGCCAACCCCGCGCAAGCAAGCCGATTTGCAAGCCAGATGGGAGAGACAATGGGACTGGTCGATCGCACTAATCTGGGCACGGCATTTGAGCGACTGAACCGAGAACTTGTGGCCGATAGCCTGGATCTGGTACAAGCTGCAGGCGCCGAAACAATCGAACGTACGGCAATCCGCGATCTCATCGGACTGAGTCACAACACCTTGGCGGATCTACCAGGTTCTATCCCCGGGATGACACTCCCCTTCGATCCTCCTGCTGAGCGAATGGGAATGGCAACCAAGTTCGCCTCGCAGCTTAAAATGCATTTGGACTTCGCCAAGAAGTTTGATAAGAAGATGCAAAATGGTGCCAACAAACTCCACGACATTGTCGACGACGTGCTCTCCAGAATGAAGTCAGTTTTAGACAGCACAGGAGTTACAGATGCAGCGCGCAAAATGAAGGAGATAACCGAACCTGCCCGGGAGCGCCTCAGAAAGCTCCCAAATCCATTCAAGAAGAACTGCAATCCCGAAAACCCTTCAACGGTCGACAACCAAAACCCCACTATCTGCGCCCGCGGTCTGGTCGATCAGTGCTGCCCAATCTGTCCAACCTGCCCAGACGCCCCAGCTGTCCCGGAACCCCCAGCTGTCCCAGCCAGCCCCGCCCCGGTCGTGGAGACTGTCTACGCAACTGTCTATACGACGCTCACCTTCGCAAATACAATCGTGGATGTCATTGAACAACTTGAATACCTCACAGAGACTATCTCACACCACGTCACACAGACTATCCCACACCACGTCACAGAGACGGTCCAGCAGATCGAGAATGTTCAGGTCGAGGTCCCGCAATACGTCCCAATTCCACAATACATCACACAGACTTTCCAGCAGATCGAGAATGTCCAGGTCCAAATTACGCAATACGTCACACAGACTATCCCGTTCACAGTGACTTACCATGAAGTCGAGCATAAATCCAAGAAGCCATGCAAATTCTGGTGTTGATCGACGCGGTATATGCCTCGGTCTGATCTTGGATTCTGACGGTACGTTATCAGGGTGATGCATTCGTCAGCCCGAATGAGTACCTTTGTTGGCATGCAAGATGGCTGGGGTGTGGTTGGACTGAGGGTTTGGGTGTTTGGTGGGAATACTGGTTGGATGTAGGTTCAGTGATGTGAGGAAGATTGCATGATGCTTTCGTGGCTGCTACGATGGATTTCTCATCGTGATCTCACGAGGAGCCTCTGTCACCGGACGTGTATAGATAAAAAATAAAATGCTTCATTGCAAACATGAACACCAAGCTATGCGTACAACCTCATCCTACCCGTCGCGACTAAAATGCTCACACAAAACTTAAACACCAAACAAATGCTCCATCCAATGCATCCCTTTCTCATCATCCCCATCATCTAACCATACCACTCATTTAAGCCTGAGCAGCTTCCAAGAGCTTCATGTGCTGCTCCGGGTGCGTCTTCTCAACGTTGTTCTTAGCAACCTTCTTCATCATGAAGTTGGCGTCAATGTCAATCTCCTCGCTGAGCTTGCCGCCAGTCACACGCCACTTGCCGCTGATGGTGAGGACACCAACGGGGGGTTTGGCGTTGACGAGGGAGTCGACACCTTCGGAGACGTTGGTGAGGGTGAGCTTGTAGGTTGTCTGATATGGGTCAGTATTGTACCGAGGAAGAAGAAAAGCGGAGAGGAAGGGGAAGTCGTACCTGGCCAATGGGCTTCTTGTCCGTGACGGTGTAGGTGGCGCAAGTAGTTTTGTCGCCGGACTCGAAAGCGTAGCTGACGAGCGCTGGGCAGAGGGTCTTGATCATGAGGTCGTGGTTGTGGAGAGCGGCAATGACGACAGCGGCATCGACACCGTTGAGGGGAGTGGAGATCTGGGAAGTAGGCATCTTGACTGATTGGTTGTTGTGTAAAAATTTGGTAGAGGATTAAAGGAACTGGCCGGCAGTAATAGTGAAGAGAATAGTCGGTAAGGCTGTGATGAGTTGATGAGAGGAGTAGAAGCTTGCTGGATGATGGTCTATCTTCACGGTGAAAGGCAGCAGAATATATACATCTCGCCCTCCTCATTCCTTACCGGTCTTACTCGCGTCTGGAGACCCCTACTCTACTCTCCATGACCCTAACCCGTTGTCCAAAACGTCAAGACGCAGTCAAGATGCATGTCTTACACCCCTGACACGGCATGGCGTCCCTCACTCTACCCCAGCATCCATACAGTTGTACAGCTTACCCACGCATGGCTTGTACTACGCCGACGATCATCCGCCCGCCCAATATCGAAATAGTAGCTACCGAAACGCGTCGTCTCTGTTTCCGAGCGCCCGGATAGGTAATGTCTGTGCGTTGGTGCGCTGGGTTGGGGATGGTGAGGTAGGACGATCCTCGTTAGCCGAGCGATGTCCACAGGGTTGAATCGTGGAGCTGTTACGTGAATACTCTGTGTCTGGCACGTTTGAAGGGACGGATGGTAGAGCGAGAGCTGGAAATAGCTGATCTGACAGTTTAGAAACATCTTTCGAGTCGCGGTCAAACAGAACTGTTTGCACACTGCTTGTCTACCTGTGACGTCTGTGTCCGCGCTGCTCGCTTTCGCAAACGAGGTCGTTCTTCAGCTGGAAACTCTATTGCGCAAGGCGCCTGCAAAGCTCATTGACGCTGTCGATCATGTATAATGCTTACACGCAGATAAGAACACGAACTCCCACTCTCCGGATCTCCAAGGGCTCGGTCACTGTTTCCCCGTGCAGTAATTGGGTACTGCTTGCTAGCAGTGTCGGAGTGTTTCGCTGGTGGGTTCGCAGAATCGACGGGCGCCGCGGGTTGGGGAGCCGTGCTGCGCTAGCGCAAATCTTAAGTCGGCTCGCGTGGGTGTCGCTGTCGCCTCATCTATTTTGAACCGGTTCACTCATCGTTCGTGCGAAAGGCAGTTACATGTTTGCTATTTTCGCGTTTATCGCGTTTCATTATGTGCACAAAGTGCGCATGTATTCGCGTGGCTTCCAAGGTCTGCACACATTCGATGCAGCGCGACCTCTTCAGGCTCTGCATCGGCATGCTGCCTCGGTACCTAGGTAGACTCAAATGACACCCAGCTATAGCACGTGACGGGTCGATTAAGAACACGGAGCAGGTCATGGTTGGTGTCTCAACACTTTGAAGATGAAATGATCGCCCATTGGTCGATCATGATGCATACCTATCCCTAACCTTGATTGTAAACGCCTTGGAGAATCTTCCTGTGCACACAGATACAGAAACAACACAATCGCTAAAGCTTCGACTCCACCACCGTATCCGTCTTTGCCCTTCCGCCTGCGAAGTTCACCCCTTCACTCGGCTCAATCGTCCCACTCTTGTTGATCAGCTGTAGCTTCCTCAACCTTGAGATCGGCTCATCATCATCTCTATCCCTAACATAGAATGCCCAGTCGGCCGTAGGATCAATCTCCGTTTGCGAGTACCCATTGCCCAGCCATGAAAACCTGTTGCCAGTGTATTTGACATCCCAGTCCTCTAGCCTGAGCTCCATGAGCGCCTCAATGTAGTGTAGTGTAGAGCCAGGCCAGA